TTAGATGAAATATGGGCAGGGGGGGCCCCAAGGGGGGAAAAAGCCCCCGCCACTTTCCCCCCCCCCCCCCCCCCCCCACCTTCAAATAGAAAATTGTTTGCATCACCAACTGTACCCCACATTATTTTAAACAATATTAGAAAATTAGATTTTTATTACGTTTTTGTCTCAAAACATGTGTCAGAATGATATGTTGCTTGCTGACACATGTTTTGAGATAAGAACGTATAAAAATCTAATGGTTATCAATTCAAGTTACTAGGGAGAATTCTCTCTTTCTGCACATTGAATTCGACCTCGACAGCAGATGTATTCATCTGTTTTTTTCAAAACAATATTATATTCACAAAATTACGAAAAAGATTAGGTAACAGATAGATAGATAGTTTATATAACTCCTCCCCTGAGTTCTGACAAGCCCCCACAAAACAGTCTGCCAGTGTATTGAAAGGACTAGAAGCTGGCATTGCCTTCGCTTATTTGAAATAACATATGACATTTGTTAAAAAGAAATATTATTAAAAAATGTAGGTATCATAATAAAAAAATAACAATAATAATGAAAAACAAAAAACAAACAAACACCAATAAATCAATACAAGAGAATTATAAACCTGTCCATTCCGACATTGAAATAATAATAATATTTTCAAAAAATTTGTAAGAGTCAATTCTTCTCTCTCAACTTCCATACCCATATTAACAAAACACACAGCCTACAAAAAAGAAGAACATAACAACATAAGAAGCAAATCAGAATAACTTTATTCTTCGATAATTTAATATCGATAAACATGATATATATTATATATATTCACTGGGGTAATACTGGTGAAATTTTCGGATTAAAAGCAGAAATTCCAAGATACTACACCCAGTGGAACCTAAAGAATATTCATTTATCTTAATATTTATCCTAGTCTAAAAGTGGCAAAACGAGGTTAAAAGTATTTTTGAAATCGACAAAGGTGACTTATTGCTGCTTAACATTACCCTAATAGGGGTGTTTCAGGTCGAATTTTCGGATTAAAAGCAGAAATTCCGAGCTACTACACTTAGTGGAACCTAAAGAATATTCATTTATTTTAATATTTATCCTAGTCTAAAAGTGGCAAAAAGAGGTTAATAGTATTTTTGAACTCTACAAAGGTGGCTTATAGCTGCTTAACATACCCTAATAGCGGTGTTCCAGGTCGAGTTATCGGATTAAAAGCAGAAATTCCGAGATGTTACACCTAGTGGAACCTAAAGAATATTCATTTATCTTAATATTTATCCTAGTCTAAAAGTGGCAAAACGGGGTTAATGGTACTTTTGATGTCGACAAACGTGACTTATAGCTGCTTAACATTAGCCTAATAGGGGTGTTTCAGGTCGAATTTTCGGATTAAAAGCAGAAATTCCGAGATACTACACCTAGTGGAACCTAAAGAATATTCATTTATCTTAATATTTATTCTAGTTTAAAAGTGGCAAAACGGGGTTAGTAGTAATGTTGATGTCGACAAACACGACTTATAGCTGCTTAACATTAGCCTAATAGGGGTGTTTCAGTTCGAATTTTCGGATTAAAAACAGAAATTCCAAGATGCTACACCTAGTGGAACCTAAAGAATATTCATTTATCTGAATATTTATCCTAGTCTAAAAGTGGAAAACGAGGTAAATAGTATTTTTGAAATCGACAAAGGTGACTTATAGCTGCTTAACATTACCCTAATAGTGGTGTTCCAGGTTGAGTTTTCGGATTAAAAGCAGAAATTCCAAGCCACTACACTTAGTAGAATCTAAAGAATATTTATTTATCTTAATATTTATCCTAGTCTAAAAGTGGCAAAACGAGGTTATTAGTATTTTTGAAGTCGACAAAGGTGACTTATAGCTGATTAACATTACCCTAATAGCGGTGTTTCATGTCGAGTTTTCGGATTAAAATCAGAAATTCGGAGCCACTACACTTAGTAGAATTTAAAGAGATTCATTTATCTTAATATTTATTCTAGTCTAAAAGTGGCAAAACGAGGTTAATAGTAGTTTGGTGTCGACAAATGTGATATATAACTTGTGAAAATTAGCTTAATGGGGTATTTCAGGCCGAGTTTTCGGATTAAAAGCAGAAATTCTGAGATACTACACCTAGTGGAACCTAAAGAATATTCATTTATCTTAATATTTATCCTAGTTTAAAGGTGGCAAAAAGGGGTATATGGTACTTTTGAAGTCGACAAAGGTGACTTATAGCTGCTTAACATTAGCCTAATACGGGTGTTTCAGTTCGAATTTTCGGATTTAAAGCAGAAATTCCGAGCTACTACACTTAGTAGAAACTAAAGAATATTCATTTATCTTAATATTTATCCTAGTCTAAAAGTGGCAAAACGGGGTTAATGGTACTTTTGATGTCGACAAACATGACTTATAGCTGCTTAACATTAACCTAATAGGGGTGTTTCAGTTCGAATTTTCGGATTAAAAGCAGAAATTCGAGCTACTACACTTAGTAGAATCTAAAGAATATTCATTTATCTTAATATTTATCCTAGTCTAAAAGTGGCAAAACGAGGTTAATAGTATTTTTGAAGTCGACAAAGGTGTCTTATAGCTGATTAACATTAATAATAGCGGTGTTTCATGTCGAGTTTTCGGATGAAAAGCAGATATTCCAAGATACTACACCTAGTGGAACCTAAAGAATATTCATTTATCTTAATATTTATTCTAGTCTTAAAGTGGCAAAACGAGGTTAATAGTATTTTTGAAGTCGACGAAAATGACTTATAGCTGCTTAAAGTTAGCCTTATGGGGGAGTCTCTGGTCGAATTTTCGGATTAAAAGCAGAAATTCCGAGCCACTACACTTAGTAGAATCTAAAGAATATTCATTTATCTTAATATTTATCCTAGTCTAAAAGTGGCAAAACGGGGTTAGTAATAATTTTGAAGTCGACAAAGGCGACTTATAGCTGCTTAACATTAGCCTAATAGGGGTGTTTCAGGTCTAATTTTCGGATTAAAAGCAGAAATTCCGAGCCACTACACTTAGTAGAATCTAAAGAATATTCATTTATCTTAATATTTATCCTAGTCTAAAAGTGACAAAACGAGGTTATTAGTATTTTTGAAGTCGACAAAGGTGACTTATAGCTGATTAACATTAATAATAGTGGTGTTTCATGTCGAGTTTTCGGATTAAAAGCAGAAATTCCGAGCCACTACACTTACTAGAATCTAAAGAATATTCATTTATCTTCATATTTATCCTAGTCTAAAAGTGGCAAAACGAGGTTATTAGTATTTTTGAAGTCGACAAAGGTGTCTTATAGCTGATTAACATTAATAATAGCGGTGTTTCATGTCGAGTTTTCGGATGAAAAGCAGATATTCCAAGATACTACACCTAGTGGAACCTAAAGAATATTCATTTATCTTAATATTTATTCTAGTCTTAAAGTGGCAAAACGAGGTTAATAGTATTTTTGAAGTCGACGAAAATGACTTATAGCTGCTTAAAGTTAGCCTTATGGGGGAGTCTCTGGTCGAATTTTCGGATTAAAAGCAGAAATTCCGAGCCACTACACTTAGTAGAATCTAAAGAATATTCATTTATCTTAATATTTATCCTAGTCTAAAAGTGGCAAAACGGGGTTAGTAATAATTTTGAAGTCGACAAAGGTGACTTATAGCTGCTTAACATTACCCTAATAGCGGTGTTCAAGATCGAATTTTCGGATTAAAAGCAAAAATTCCGAGATACTACACTTAGTGGAACCTAAAGAATATTCATTTATCTAAATATTTATTCTAGTCTGAAAGTGGCAAAACGGGGTTAATAGTAGTTTCATGTCGACAAATGTGATATATAACTTGTGAAAATGAGCTTAATGGGGGTATTTCAGGTCGAATTTTCGGATTAAAAGCAGAAATTCCGAGATGTTACACCTAGTAGAATCTAAAGAATATTCATTTATCTTAATATTTATTCTAGTCTAAAAGTGGCAAAACGGGGTTAATAGTAGTTTTGATACCGACGAAAATGACTTATAGCTGCTTAAAGCCTCATGGGGGTGTTTCAGATCGAGTTTTTGGATTAAAAGCAGAAATTCCGAGATACTAAACCTAGTAGAATCTAAAGAATATTCATTTTATCTTAATATTTATCCTAGTTTAAAAGTGGCAAAACAGTAATATGGGTGGTTCTGAAGTTTTTTTCTTTTGTCGTATTGTAATAATATTTCTCCATAGGAATTATAATTTTGCTCTGTAGGCATGATGCTTAGGCTTGTGTAATCGTGAAAAAGAATAAGTCAGGAGTCTGTGATGATCTACCTACCTTGTGATTGCCTGAGAAATGAATAATAAACGTTTCCCATAGCTTCTCTGATCTTGTTCAAATAAAATTACTTCTATATTCAGTTATTTATTGGAAATCTACGTTCGCGGACACCATGTGTTGTTATGACATGATTTACGTCCCTTGAGGGAATCCCGATAATTTTCTTTGAGTCGCTGTCGTTGATTGGCTAGCTTGCGAGGATGAGTCAAAAAGTTCAATTTTCTTATTGTCTGCTGGCTATCGTCTGCGGGCTTGATCTTATTTTTTTGTCTGCAAACCTTATCGTCTGCCCAGTTGATCTCAGCCTTCTTGGGTCTATCATTTCTTACTTCCGGTTTCAATTGCTCTTTCACTAAGTCTTTCCTTCTATAGCTTATATTTTCCCATTCATCCAGTCTTCTCTAATGTCAAAAATGACCGAATTCCATCACTTGAAGTTCTGTCAATACTAATAAAATATGGACAATGTGGAGAAAATATTAAATAGTGTCAACGTGTATACAGTGGTGTAACATAGGCCTATATTCGTGCATATAACTCCGAATTTCGTCAAAATTAAAAAACAGAAAAAAATGGTTTATGTCTTAGATTTTTCCTCAGATATTCTATATAATAATTAAAATTGGTTTAAGATTTGAACGACATGTAGAAGCAAGGAGCACATATAACAAAAACACAAGACGATATTATGGAATATAACACATTTCTTTAATAAGGTTGACACATAACGTTTCAACACAATATACACGTGTCGTCATCAGATGTAATGGCAAGAGAATAATTACAAATCAAGATATATACCAACAAGAAACAATATAGAAATTAAGAGGGACAATATTGTCATACCATACTATCTCACATTAGTCCTAGTCTTAGCCGTCATAGAAACCTTTTGAAATTTATACCATACTATCTCACACTAGTCCCCATTCCAAATATCAAATCACCAAATTGCTGTCTCCCTTACTTTTTGTACGGAGGCCCATTAAAGACATACACTAATCGACATATACAGTCAAGTAACCTAATTTCGTGGAAACCTATTTTTCGTGGATTTCCGGAAATGATTAATAATTTACATGAGCGACCTTGCGCGACCTCCGCAATAGCTTGTTTTGATAAACATGGGTTTTCTCTACAATATCAGCTAGTAGGATGAATCCAGTAGTTTCAAGCAAGGTAAAATGTACTAATGTATACTTTGACAAATATATTTATACAAAAAGGCGGATTTCACTTTTTACCAAACGTCACCATTTTTTATCGGCCGAATTTCCTTATAATCCCAAGCGGTAATCGGAATTCCAAGTGTCGTCTGCTTGAATGTAGTCCAACGAATGAAGTCACGTGATCAACTAGCGGATTCAATGTCAGCAGAAAATTTCTATGGAACACAAAGTGGACCATATTCTTATGTTGTTTCAGTGACTTTTAGCAATAAATCACGCTAGGTATCTTATTTTGTCAGTCACTATTTTTTTTTTAAAATCGTGGTTCTTTGAAGGAATTGTCACTAGTTAGGTCTATAATGAATTGATATTAACAATAAATACTAAGAGAAGTTAATTATACCACCCGGTATCCATACAACGTGTTTTTCTAGACTTATTTATAGATTAAACATTGTACACGAAAATAGGTGACGCATTCTGCCGCCGTTGCCGAGTTGGTTACTCATGAAATATGGGTCAAAGTGAAGGATTCATAAAGAAAATCGAAATAAACCAATTTTAATTATTTTGTAGAATATCTGGGGAAACATCTAAGACATAAAAAAAAATTTGTTTTTTTAACTTTGACGAAATTCGGTGTTGAATCCTTGTATCCACGAAAATAGGTTACACCACTGTATATAATTTACGAGGCTTAGCCGTCATAGGAACTTATTGCAATTCACATCAAACTATCTCACACTAGTCCTCATTCGAAATAGCAAATTACTAAGTTGCTGTCTTGCATACGTTTTGTACGGAGGCCCATTAAAGACATACACTAATCGACATATATATGAGCTATGTAGAATAATGCTCAGAGTTTACGGGCAATTTGTGACGCTTAGCCAACATAGGAACTTATTGCAATTCATACCACCCTATCTCACATTAGTCTTCATTTGAAATATAAATTCACTAAGTTGCTGTCTCCTTAATTTTTTTAATTTTTTTAAATCTCCTTAATCGACATACATATTTCCTATATGAGCATATTACCCAGAGTTTACTGTTGGGTTTAGCTGTTGAATCTAGGGGGGGATTATTTTATTGTAGTCTGAAGCCTTTATTCAAGGGAAGCAATTATTCAAGGGAAGCAATACTTTATTGAAACCGGAAGTTGAGAGTTGTGATCTTCCCTTTTTCATCAGCGTACTTCCTTTGAATAAACCGCAATTGAAATCAGCTTTACTAGTTTCATTCTTTTCCCACAGGTCCATTCTTCAAATACCAAATCTGAACGGAGATCGGTGCAACATTATTGGGGGCTCGTCCGGGAATTGAAGTTTATTGAAGATGGAAGCAGCATCATTGAAGTTTTCGGTATTGGGGAAACTTTACCAATCACCCATCCATAATCTGATTCCACTACTTTTAAGTCTGAAATTGATCGGTGAAGAGGAAGTTAAAGATACAACATGTGTTTCGGCTCAAGAAATACTAAACAGATTTGTATACGAAGAATACAAGAAAGAATGTTTCATAGATACTTTAAAGCATATGGAGTCTATGTTACCCACATTCTACTTGCAACCAAAACAACCTCCTGATCCAGTCAAATCGGAAATAGATGATAAAGTTTGTAAAGTAGAAGAGGTACCAGAAGTTAAAACACCAGTTTACAGAAGATATTTTAAAATAAATGGCCAAATTGGTGGGAAGAATGGTATTGGTTTTATGACACTTGTAAGACAAATACAAAGTGGTGGAAAGAAAGGTTTTTTCAAGCACGGAGATAGTGGATGCAGTTATCCAAGCAATATCACCAACCCTTCAATTAAGACAGTATCTTGAGAGCAGAAATTCACTTTCCTTAAACCAATTGAGGGAATCCTGAGATTCCACTTTAAGGAAAAAACAGCCACAGAGCTATACCAAGAACTTGGTGCTGTTATACAAAAAAGGGGAAGAACCAGTAGAGTTCCTGTTACGTATTTTGGCCTTAAGGCATCTCACAAGAAGTTGGAGAAATGGAGTATGATAACAAACTAGTTCAGAATATGTTTTGCAGAACATTTTACTCTGGGTTACTTGAAGAAACTATACGAAGGAGATGCAGCCTCTTATACAGAAAGTAACAATTACTGACGAAGAAAGTCTTTGAATGGCATTTAGCAATTGTGAGTACGATATATAGACACAACTTTATGGAACAACAATCACTGGTTAAAGTTTTATGCAACGTTTCGACGTGTTCCCCCCGTCGTCCTCAGGCACATAATGAGAAGAAGTGATGGGCAAACTATATATACATTAATGCTTATTATTAAGAACACACAAGAGATAAATGGTTTATTGATTATTGGGGATTATACGAGTGGCAAAGGATCCCTTTCGGACTATCTGGAACACCTTCAGCATTCCAGTCTTTCATGAACAATTGCCTCGAGGGGTTAAGGGACAAGTGTTGTCTCCCTTACCTTGATGACATTTAAGTGTACAGTAAAACCTTTACTGAGCATGTTGAACACATTTGAAACAAGTTTTTAGTCGCCTTCGTGATAAAGGAGTTAAACTTAAGCCAACCAAATGTTTTTTTTTCGACAAGAGATTCGATATTTAGGACACCTTGTTACTTCTAAAGGATATACGATAGACTACAAGGATAAAGATGCAGTGCTTGAACTGAAAAAGAAGATGCCTACCAATGTGGGAGAGATTCGTAAACTTTTAGGTCTTTTATCATACTATCGTAAATTCATACCATATTTTGCCAGAAAAGCCAAGCCATTGTATAACCTGCTAAAGTCGACACATACAGCACCGAAGACAAAACAGAAAACCAAGGGTGGACAACTTTCCTCAGGTACCAAGATTGAATGGACACTAGACCACAAAGATGCTTTAGATAATTTATTGGACTCATAGGTGTCACCGCCAATCATGACATATCCAGTGTTTGGTCGTCCTTTTGCACTACATGTGGACGCTTCTGGGGAAGGACTCGGAGCAATTCTATACCAACAAGGTGATGATGGGCATCAACATGTAGTGGCTTCAGGACCCTAATACCTTCGGAGAAAAACTACAACCTTCATTCTGGAAAGCTAGAGTTTCTAGCTCTTAAATGGGCTGTTCAGGGTTCAGGGACTACTTATACTATTCTCCTAATTTTATAGTTTATAGTGACAACAATCCACTAAGCTACTTAATGACGACGCCACGCCTTGATGCACCTAGATTAAGATGGGTAGCTGAATTGGCAGATTTTAAATTTACTGTGAAGTATAGACCTGGACAACACAGATGCAGACTGTTTGAGCCGAATGCCTCTAGAATTTGACAGATTCCGTGATGATTGTACAGAAGAAATCGATCCTGAACTGGTGTCTATGGCTGTGAAAACAGTAAAGTCTCAATCTTTTGCATGGCTATGTGGAGTGAAACAAGAAGTTCCAGTGTTGGAACCAAATCCCAAAGTGAATCTCAAACTTTCTGTTGATGAACTTAATGAAGCTCAGAATAACGATGAAAATATTTCTGGTGTTAAACAAGCTGTCAAATTTCAGAATTGACAGGCCGACATGTGAAGAAAGAAACGGGTTGTCTAACGAATCTCTACTGCTTTTGAGGGAATACAACTCATTACAAATTGATCCAGATTGGTCTACTCAAGAGAAAACGAAGTATACCAGGGCAAGACACCAAATATCAATTGATTTTACCGCAAAAATGATGAATTCGTCATTGATGAATTGCATTGTAAGATGGGACATCTTGGAAGTGAAAAAGTTATCTCATTGGTACAAGATCGATTTTATTGGCCAAAAATGTCAGCTGAGATTGAACATTTTATTACCAAAAGGTGCACTTGTGTGGAATCAAAGAAGCCTAATCGAAATATTGAAGCTCCACTGAAACCTATTGAAAAAACTCACCCATTTCAATTGGTATCCATAGATTTCCTACATCTCGAAAAGAGCATGGGTGGATTCGAATATATCCTAGTTGTCGTAGACCATTTCACACGCTTTGCTACTGCATACCAAACTACCAATACATCTGGAAAAACAGCTGCAGACAAAATCTTTAACGATTATGTTTTAAAGACCAAGGACGAGAGTTTGAAAACCAGTTATTTCACAGACTGCAAAAGTATGGTGGGGTAGGGCGCTCAAGAACCACACCATATTACCCCGCTGGTAATGGACAATGCGAGCGAATGAACAGAACCCTTTTGTCGATGCTGAGAACCTTGTCCACTAATCATAAAAATGATTGGAAAAGTCACGTCAACAAAATGATGTATGCTTACAACTGAACCAGAAACGAATGAAACCCCAAATTACCAATTGATGTCATTTTCAATCTGAATACTGAAGCAAGTACATCTTACCATGATTATGTGAAGAAATTTACAAAATGTCTTAAGGAAGCATTCCATATTGCAGCAGAAAATGCCAAGAAATCTGGAGCTAAAGCCAAGAAAATACACAATCAGAGACCTAATAGTGCAGTACTAGTGCCAGGAGACAGAGTTATAGTAAGGAACCTAGGTGAACGCGGAGGGCCTGGAAAATTACGCAACTATTGGGAAGATGATGTTCCTACTGTCATCAAACGGATGGCAGAAGATTCTCCAGTATAAATCTTTCAAGCGAAATGGTAAAAATTCGTAGACTTCATCGAAATTTATAACTCCTGTGTAATGATATTCCACCTGATGAAGAGATAATTGAAGGAACCAAAATTGAAAAACCAAACTCTAGAGGACATGTACATCAGGATATAACTTCTACTGAAGCTGAACTGGAATCTGCTAGCGATTTCACAATTATATGGAAGCAAAAATCTACTTTGAATCCAGAAGCTGATGAATTTGTTCCATTTTCAGACAGATACCAACCAATCACCTATAGTGCTGATTCGAACTTTCACCAGAGCAATGAGTCTTTAAGTACAGACTATGATAATGATGATATACCTCCAGCACGTTTCAGACAACCAACGCAGAGACTTACCTATGATAAGGACAAATAAGTACCAATTGGATATATACAAGTTAAAAAAAAAGAAAAATATACCATTTCCATGTTTATGACAATGTATTTAATAAATACTTCCTTATGGTTTTGTTAAATATTTCAATGTTTATTAAGTACTTCAACGTTAAATAAGTGCTTTAAGGTTAAATAAGTACTTTAAGGTTACATGTTGCCATAATAATGCATTATTTGGCCAGGTAGTAATGTAATTTCGGTTTTTCGTCTAATGTTTAACTGATTCAGTCAGTATGTACACCTTGGATTGTGGTACATTAACTATTTAGATAGTTTGAGGATAAGAATCTCATTCAGCCTGATCAAGTGAAGGATTGCATATTATTCTTAATTAGTAGACGTACGTCCTAAAACTCATTCCATTGGTGTTAGGGTGTATTGAGACGAGTCTCAATGAAAGCACTGGCCTAGGTCACAGGGCAATAGATAAGTCTATTAATTATGTGAAAGTTAGTTAGTCATTAGTATGATTTAAGTTGAAAAGACACACACACAAACATACACTGCATGTTATATAATATACTGTATATAACCATGGCACCAGTCCTGAAATAAGTATTCCCTGAAATCTAACTTAGAAATCGATTAATTTATTGATAGATCATGATACATTTGTATTCAGAAATCTATGCTCCTAGGATGAATGGACATTGTTCAATGGTTCAAGTCTACCGTGAAAGAGGAAATTGCTTAGATTTTGATTTCTTTTGTAAGCTACAAACAAGCGTTTTGTGTATACATGAAGTTCCGAGTAATGGCGTTTGACTATTATGGAGGCTTTGGTAGCTGTAGAATCAAATGTCGTTATAAAGGGTATTATCTGGTTATCATGTTGAATGTTGAGTCCATTTGGCCTCACAGTCTGCAGTTGATCGATCCAATAACTTTCGCGTTGTAGACGTCTAAGCTTAGGTTTCATGCTAGGTGATGTAGAAACTGTTTCTATAGGCATGATGAGAAGGTCATCAATGGAATGATCGGGAAGGTTGATTCGCAATTGGTCTATCCTTGCCATGCACTATATCATAGCGATGGCCAATGAATCGCGTTCGAAGCGCATTTTGAGTCTCGCCCACATATTGTACATCGCATTTTTTACAAGAAATTGGGTATATGATATTTTGATCTCCGCAAGAAATTAGGTTATTCATTGCAAACAATTTTCCGTTCTTGTTATTTTTGAAAAAATGGGTAACATGTATGTGTTCGCATGCACGACAAGTAGGACCTCCACAGGGAAATAAACCGAATCCAATAAAAGGTGGAGGGAATTTGAGATTTAATTATTCCAGAAAATGTGTGTTTCGGGTGGAACGAGCTTTTGTATAAAAGTTGGTGGGTATCAGTTTCCTTAAAAAATACTTTAATGTCTAATTTTTTAGAAGAAAGAAAGTTGTTGCCTTTGAACACCGTGGTGTCCAAAAAATCCATGCTGTTTTCGCTGATATTTGCTGTCAATTTCACAGAAGGGTGGTGGTTGTTTAAAATTTCGAAATATTCCCAGAAATGTTCTAGAGTATCGGACCAAATGATAAAAATATCGTCAAGAAACCTTCCATAAAATTACATACTGGTTACGTCCAAAGAAATGAAATACGCGTTTTCGGGAATGTCCAATTTCTTGATTTTTTCAACAAAATCGGTTGTGTCTTTCAGATAAGAAGGGTGTTGGCAGGCTAGTGGCAGTAAAAAGTAATCTATGTATTCTGAAACTCGGTATGATTCTCTAGAACAATCAGAAATGATTGGTCTACCTCTAGGAATTTGGTTGGCAACGGACCACCCAGTTTCGGGATTTTTATGAATTGTCGTTGGCGAGGCTCAGTGGACGCGGAAAGGTAGTCATATTGCTTTTCTGAAATAAATTTCTTTTTTACCAAATTTTGTAGAATATTGTTTATTTCTCGCGCAGTTTCCATAAAAATAGGTGTATCAAGTTGGCGATAGTGATTTTAATTGTTCAACTGTTTATCAATTTCAAAAATGTAGTCATCGCGATTTTGAATGACGCAGCAACTGCCTTTGTCACTTTTCCTGATGATAATGTTTTTGTCATTTTTTAGATTATTGAGGGATTTTCGTTCAAAATTGGTAAGATTGTTTTTCTCATTCACCAAAGGCAAATAAGAAATTTCTTCATATAAATTGTCGCAAATAGTTAAAATATCTTGGTCAATCGCATTATCTGGTGGATTCCAGCCAGATCTATCCGTAAATTTGATTCGTTTACCGAAGCCAAGTTTTTAGCGAAAGTAATAATTCAATTTAAATGTTTAAATGTGAACTTCAGTGACCGACGTCAAAATTTGTCTAGAAGTCTTTCTTCAAGGGGAGAAAGTATTCGTGAACTTAAATTGACAACAGTTTGTCCTAATTTTGGAATATTTCCCCCCGCGTTTAGTTTAAATGGGAGACCCAATTTAAATATACAGATTTGGCAGTGGGGGCCGTCCAGTGGACGAGATCTAAATAGTTTACCTCGATCATTCCATTGAATCGCGGCAAATGGAGATGGCTTATGAAAAAGAAGGTTGTTGAATTTTCGTAAGTTGGCGGCTAAATTTGGTCTCTGGCGTTGGAGGATGGAAGAAACTGGTATCTGGGTGGCGAATACGTTGGCTGATGGGAATTTGGTTTTGGCGAGGGATAACAATTCCAGCATCTGTCTGTGGATGGATTCACGGTGTAATACTTTAGGCAAAAACAAGGAGGCTTGTATATAAGTTCACATGTTATAGTGATGTTCGTCATAAATCATTTAGTAAGAGTTAAAGTAATATCGCCTCTTAGGTGCAGTTATTTACAATTTTTGTAGTTCAATTTTTTTAAAATGTCGAGACGACATTTTGTTTTGTGGGGGAGTGTGTTGGGTTTAGCTATTAAATCTAAGGGGGGATTATTTTATTGTGGTCTGAAGCCTTTATTCAAGGGAAGCAATTATTCAAGGGAAGCAATACTTTATTGAAACCGGAAGTTGACAGTTATCTTCCCTTTTTCATCAGCGTACTTCCTTTGAACATAATGCAACAAAAGTTAACATTTTATTATTTTAATCACATGTCACATTGATGATCATTTCCATGATCATTGTTATCTAGACAAACTCGCCATGTACCCTTTTTCATCAGCGTACTTCCTTTGAATAAACCACAATGAAATCAGCTTACTAGTTTCATTCTTTTCCCACAGGTTCATTTTTCAAATACCAAATCTGTACGGAAGCCCATTAAAGGGATACTACGTCTTAGGATGAACATAAAATTTTAATTTTGCTCAAATTTGGCCAATAACAGTATATATCCATCAGTGGACTTACCTGGTGTCCTAACTATACATCAAAATCCCTCTATAATCCGAGGGGGGCAATTTATCAATGCACCTTGACAGACGATTAAACGTCGGGAAACGGACTTTCATGGAGTATTTTAGATTCGAGATTATTTTTGTTAAAACACACAAGTTATAATACGTTACATTTTTATTGCCGTTTTAGTTTAAACGTATTCGGGTATGTTTTATGGCAAAACGTTGAACAAATACGTCCAAATTAATTTTCTGGGTACGCTGCCTGTGGAAGGCAAGAAGAACAAGATTGCGCTGGCGAAGCTGAGTCATAGATCGTCGTTGTGGTGAGTAAGAGTTGAAAAGCTGCTTCCACACACTGCGGTACTAGAACCGAATGTGGCAACGCTTGCAGCCAGTGGATATAATTTAAGGAAAGCTCGTATAGTTTTTGAAGAACAAGATTGGAGTCCTGCTTTTCTGTATCACCTACAGCATGCTTCCAATCTGTGTAGCCTTCAGTGATGAATTTTTATGCACCCGCAGATGTATTGTGAAACACTCGACATGGAAATCAAAAAGGGGCGTCCCTTGACACTGAATACTCCAGCCATGGAAATCGATCATACCAGCTGTTACTAAAATGGCGACCAGACTTCGCTGGAAATTTTATTCTCGGTTGGAACGTCTTCTTTTCCAATGTCACCTGGTACTCCTGTCTTTTCAGAGCATCTTGGTACTGCATCCGTTGTGTTGCCCGCTGTGGTCAGGCAACAGTGTCAGTCGTAGTAGTGTCGGAACCATCAAGTAATTTGTCTTTTTTGATCAAATATGTATCCATTTTTCCTACTTTTGGTTGTTTGATTCATATGAATACAATTTAGGATAATATATGTCTATTAGTTAGTATTTATAATCAACCAATCAAATCTTTTGAATTTTGAGACGGGACAGATTACAATCCAGTATCAGACCAATAATTTTGTTACCAATGACGCTTTACTGCAGACTTTTATGATTTTCAACAAACTCAATTGTATGAAATTATCTATTCTAATGTAATTAAATTTAAAAAGCTATGATGTCTGGTTTCATCCTCAGCTGAGTATAAACAGAAAGATATTTAAAAACAGTTCTAGGCCTACAGATAGGAATACTTAGTATTTTGTTGAACCATTTCGCATAACGCTGCCCTGAAAGCCATAACCTTATTTTTCGTTACGTATAATCAAAATATAGTAGCTGACTGGTGCACTTACTCCACCATAAAATGCCTGACCAGAATGACCACTGTTTGCTATTCACTCAGACCCAGTTACCTCCCGCTCCTATTGACTCAGGAAAAAGAAAAGGTGTATTTTAAAAAAGTGACCTTGGCTACGGGCCTGCGCGTCCTATCAAAGTTTCGTTTCATAGACTAAAAATGAGAGACATAATGCTGTCTAAAGCCAGACAACTGCTCAAAGAATCAAATGTGAGTGTTTCTGAAGATTTTACTCAAAGAGTGAGATCAATTCGTAAAGGGTTAATACCACATCTCAAAGAGGCCAAGCAGAACAGTGGTAACACCGTGACGCTAAAATCTGATAAACTGATTAACAGAAATGTATAATTT